TCTCGCTGACCATGCATATGGTCCTGGGTTCGATCCCCTGCCGACGCACACCCGATATCTATGGTCAGCCTGAATTTGGGCTACCGATATCCGTGCTGAAAATTCCATACTTGTACTGAAAATACGGTGCGGCATCAAGCTGTAATCAAAACAAAATTTAAAAGATAAAATAATTAAAGAAAATCACATCGACCTAAACAATGGAGTGAGTTGTAGAACTGGAGCATTATTTGGAACTTTTCGACATTGTTTACTTTAGAAACTAGCCATTTGAAAAGATGCTTCGCTTTTTAGAACAAAGGAATTCGTGGCTCACTAATCATGTCTTCGAAATGCGTTTCTTCACACATTAACTCATTCTATTTCTCGCTTAGCTCTCAAAAGTTAATTGAGCAGCACCTGACGCTACCTTTTCAGTGCTGTAGGAACATGGAGTCATTTGATGCGTCACTATTGTATTTCTTTAGATTCTCTTTTCTGCCGAAGGATGCTGATAAGTTTCTTATTCAGTGGAATGATCTTGGTGCACTTTTTACTGGTGGCTATACCTTTATAGTTTGTGAGTTTCGAGAGAAAATTTCTTAGAGCTCAAGGACTCCCTTATGTGGTGTGGAATATATATCTCCACTGAACTTTGCGCCATATGAAAATCTCAGATGTTTTGTCCCTAATGCTTTTCAAGTCTCCAACGCATTTGGACATGTATCTTCAACTTATCCATGCCTGTACAATTGGTATGTTCCTGCATAAACAGGAATAAATATATATATCTTATCCATATATCAGGAGTAGCCTGGGACAGCCCTTCACTGGATAGATAGGTCCAACATAAGTGGTATCGAAACGCTTTTTTCGGGTTTATGGATAAAAATAACTCGACACTAGTCAGTGTTGAAACGTAACCCATTTTCGGTAGCCTAATCTTTCAATTCGCTCAGCTTTTTCTGCAGCTCGGTCTGGTATTCGATTTTTTCATGGCTATGTATGGCATCAGATAGTCCGAGTTTAAAATTGAGGATGAAGCTGTGATCATCGAAGCAGTTACGGTGGTTTATTATTGTCCTTTCAGCGATGCTCTGAACGACAAAATGCTCGGGTTAGACGATTTGACAGAACTTTGAATTTGGCCATTAGTTAACAACCATGGTTATGCATTTGTCAGTTAATAACAGAAGAAATGAAGCTCTACAAGTACTAACAGTGCTGGAAAATGAAGAAGTAGTCCTGGATATTTCGGAGTATTGATCAGTAGTTACCTGGAAATAAATGGCGAGAAACAAGAGAAATAATGACCGAAAATAGGTTACCAAACTAAAACTAAAAACAATATAGGAAGCTGTAATAAAAACAAAAACGGACTATATGGAGTTTGTTGCACATTTACTCAATAAAAAATTAGCATTAAGGTCACTGTAATAAAACAGGCCGAGTGGGAAGTTTCTGGACGCGACACTTAGCCTTTACATTATGGATTACGAAATCTATCTCTGTATGATGATGATATAGGTAGTGTCGTATTGAGTGGCTTCATCGTACTTAATGTACAAGTCTGAACGAAGTCTTTGCTGATGCTCCGTGACCAGAAGTAACAGCGTTCTCCAGAATTGAGATTATGATTCTTCTGAACTCTCCTGTAGAACAGACAAAACACAATATGCTGTGATACGGTCAGTAGACTATAGACAGGCAGGCACTATATGTTTCTTAAGAGATTTTCTAGGCTTTCTTAAAATATTGAATGCTGAATGCCCCAACGTGTGTCTGACTAGGTTTCTCGCTCCACTCAAGCAAAAGAGTGCTTTCGAAAACAGTTTTAAAAATCGCAGTTAATCTTTTACATTATTACGAGCTTTCCGTTGGTAATTTAATAATTACTCCGATAGAAATGTCGGCGAATTAACTCCTTTTTGCATCCATTCCGACAGGTGCTTAAGGGCGCGTCTGGGCAATCTACTGCTGCAATGGCCTGTGTACTTGACCCCACAGGAGCAAGTAAATTAGTAAATTGACACTGAAGTCTCTAATAGCCAGCTCTTGCTTTTGAGGTTTTGGTAAATAAGAGCTTCCTTGGGGAAGATGGGCTTAGAAATGCAGCAATGAACTTCATTTGAATCGCTTTCGACAGGCGTGCTGAATACGATATATAAGCTGAGTCGTTCCTTCAATACACCCCGGTTTGGCAGAGTAGAAGCCATTTTCTTTAAGTGTTTTTCCAGAAAGGAGGTTAGATATCTGTTTTTACTGAAGTTCTCCAGGAAGATTCCAATTTCTCGCTCAATGCATCTCCTGAGCATATGCGGTAGATTTTCGTCTCATGAAACTCGATAAGATATCCTTTCTGATCATTGGGGCAGAACTGTTAAATTTTGTCAGTGGTCCACTCCATTTAGACTCACTACGGACTTATCCTTGTGGACTTCCATTTATTCATCGCAAAAGCTAGGCATCTAGGAAGGACGATTTCCTTTTTGGTTCTTCTCGAATTTCAACTTTAGCCAAACAGCAGACGTTGTTAAATGTTGTTGGGATTTTGTTGACTTCAGTGTTTTCATCGATGGCGCTAAAGACTTCGGAACAGCTGATCGTTGCCTGAAGGACACTGGAATCAAGGTACGCAATGAAGCAGTTGGTGGGCAATGGAACAATTGGAGAACCCATTGGTACTTCACCTCCCTATTGGTATTTTCGACCATAAATCTTGATATTTGACGTGCATATCAGTATTAGTTCTGATAGACTTAGTGGGTATACTAACATTCAGACTGTTTGACTCGACAGATTCACACAGTTAGCACACAGCCTCTGTCAGGGGGAGGAGGGGAACTATGTCAGTCATAGTCAAACATGACCCAGATAAATTTACTTGCCTCACCGAACCCACGAATTCAAATGTATCATTCAAGGACTGCTTCAACATTACTTTTCTCACAGGTTTAAAAGTTTCTGCCGACCACTGTGCTACGAGCGGAAGCGTGACGCGAATATAGCTAAGATTTGACACAGTAATGACTCCTCTTTTGGACTTCTGAAACGCCAGATAAGCGAGAAAGTGCTAAGTTTGACGGTTGAACCTTTTCATAAAACTGTGGGCTAATGACCGAATCTTGTTTCGTTCTTGAAGGACTTTTGTCAACAACCTCTAGCTTTGTGCAATGTTGCCTTTTTTCACTGTCTAATGTGGCACCTTGGCACTTAATGAAGCTAAAATTTATTCTTTTATTCTTATTCTTTTCCCTTTTTAGTCTGGCTGCTGTGATGAAAAAAAACATAACAACAACACCAGTATTTGAGCAAAGTTATATTTTCATCGTAAACTTCATAGTTTTCATGGTAAGACCAATTTGGTTAACATTATACATCGTAAACGTATACTATCATCCCAAGGACTCTATAGTCCCCTATAGGATATATCTTGTAAGTGTACTTCCGCGGATATATTATCCGTCATATTTTATGCCATTTTGGAGTTTCCAAGAATGTCCTCCTCTTTTTAAAATAGCTCATTATCACGTAAGGGCATGTCACTTACCCAAATGTAGGCTGTTCACTAGATGATCATAGCTACTAGCAATAAACGAAACGAGGGCTGGGTTTTTCCTGACCCTTGATGGTGACCTTAATGAAGGGCTTTTAATTCGACACTTATGTGGACCTGTTCTGATTGTTTGTACTATAACTCAGCTAGTTAAAGTTTTGGAAAAATTCTAATTTATGATAATTCACGATTTTAATTTATGACGTAACTGATCGTGCCTGTAACAATGGCATGCATTTCATGTAGACTTATAAGAAATACAATAATAATTATCATTATTGAGACTGGATGAGATGGTTGAGTCCCTTTACCGTCATAGGGGACTTAGAGTTCTTCAGGAAATTAGGGTAATTAAGAACACATAAGCGAATTCGTTCTTTGACACGCAATATGAAGGCTTTTTTTGAATGAAGACTGACGCACTATATCTTCGGTATCCACTGAGATTTACTATTGAAACTCATCCGTAGACTGATGACAAACACAGTTCACCCATTATATACACCCCCATCCTGACGCTCCTTTGGGCAACGTTGGTGCTGGCTTCCCAAAAAATGGTCCCACAGTAATTTTTAAGGGATTATAATCAACATAGGTATAATTCATGAACATATACAAATGTTTAAGAGCCTATTCACGTTTTGAAAACTTCGATTCTTACAGCATACATGTGAGTTTATTTGAATCATGGCAGTACGTTGAAAGGCTTGCATGATTTGCCTATTCACAAGACATAGAAGAAAGCCGTTTGATGGTGCTTATGAATAAGAATTTATACTACGATACCACACTGTCCATTCCAAATGTACTTATTTCACATGCACCAGATGGTTGTAATTAAGTAAGCAATAATAGTAGGGTCGTCTATAATGGTAAATTCATTCATGGGTATATGTTCTCTTAGAGAGACGTTCGCTTAGCTACTTAGAGATTGTTTATGAACAAATGAGTGTGGTGCAACAGCGTACCGATTGGCCAAAGTGTTAGACCCTTAGCAGACTCAAGAAGTGAAGGTCAGATCCCAGGGCTGAACGATAGTGAATCCCCAGACTGACAATTTCGGGGGGCGGCTATCGAACACTAACAGTGTGAAGTCCTTTCACACTGTTGCCAAAGCTAACTGATTTTGCTTGTTGGTATATGGAAATCCTGAAAGGAATTTCAAGGCAATGGGAAGGAGTACTTGATAGAAAATTACAGTCTATAACCCATGTTTGTATGCGAAAATTGGCTAGCAAACACTTAAATTCGGTACCCAAGTCATAAGTTTTAATTCTACCTATGCTCCTGATCCTAAAGAACTGAAGTTTCATACGCGAATGTATTGATTATTTTATAGACTCCATAGATAACAAAATCGAGGTATAGTCCACACGTTACACAACACACAAGGAATGGCCTTACTCATGAGATGAAATTGCCATGTTGACTTTATGTTATTCAAATGTAAGGTTGCCCTTGGACTTTGTTGAAGAGAAGGTCACCCGTTCTTTCAAATACATGGGATACACACTGTTGGATGATAGTTCTTTGAGTTAAAGACGTGTTTTGGCCCCGTTGAAAATAGCATAATGAGTGGATTATTAAGGTATGCTTCATTTTTTCTAAGGCGGTTAAGATATAAGTATTGATACCGTTAATTTATACATTGACGTTATCATAATTTTTCCTTCCGTCAATAGTATAATCTAAACCTCCGTTTTTAATTGAATAACATTTTCAAATTTACTTCACTGGACGAAAATGATGATTCGGTGACTTATCTAAGACAAGTTGCGTCATGCACTTGCGATATCGAGATGTCCCTGTCTTCAATGAACTTGGGCCACACGAGTATTTGTACACATCTCATCGTCTGATCTTAGTAAGCGAAACTGAGGATTAAATCTGTGACTTGTGGAGGACTCATTTTACGTAAACAGAATGTTAATCTAGCTAACAAGACAATTGTGTTGTTTAAAGTTTTTATTTGAGATGTTTACCAGGAGGGTTCATAAGGTGACATGCATTTGCAAATCAGTGTAGGGGAAAAAAAGCAAGCAGCTGGCAAGATTTGTATTTGGTGAATTCAAAATGTATCGTCTTAGGTTCTCTTTCACTCTGCTCTTTAACGCACGTTGGGCGATGTGTTCCGTATTTTCTAGTTAAATTCTTTTATTTGTTCGCGCAATTCAGTCTACATTGCTTTGGTGTCTTAAACGTTTGCTACACTCTAGTGATATGCTCTTCAAGCTTACTGGGTTTTGATAATTATGTGGACTTTAATTATCTTGAGTGTAGTCCTCATATCTTGTCCATTCACAAGCTTAGTATAGTCTCTGCACGACTCCATCACCAAAACGTAAGAACATATGGTCGGAATTCTATCAAGAAGAGTTAACTTATTTATTTCTAAAGCGTGTGAGTTAGGGTTCTTTATTTCATCGAAGTATATTATCAAATTGTATACTTATGAATTCATACACTAATTAATAGTTAATTCTTTTTTACATATGACGGACAAAAGCAAACACTTATCTGAAGTTAATTGACGTTAAATATTCGAGAATTTAATTAAGTATAGTTATTGAGGAACTATCAGCGTCGAAAAGCACTGGAACAAATTGAAAACGGTGTGGAGTCAAACCTGCATGGAAGTCCTAGGCAGAAAAAAGAGACAGGACAAACAGTGGCTCTCTACGGACACTTGGAAACTAATAGAAGAGAGAAGGGTGGCGAAACAAAAGATTATCCAGTGCACCGACGAGCAACAGAAACAGGAGTTGAATGCAAGCTACAATGCACTGAACAAAAGAGTGAAGAAAAGTGCCAGGGAAGACAAAAGAAAATATTGTGAAACCATGGCAAACGAAGCAGAACAAGCTGCAGGCAAAGGAGACCTCGCTACACTATACCAAACAACTAGGCACCTTTCGGGCAAAAGTTCGACACAGATTAAGCCAATAAAGGACGACAATGGAAAGTCAATCACCAAAGAGGTGGAACAGAGGAAGCACTGGGCTGAACACTTCAAAAGACTTCTAAATCGTCCGCCACCTACAACGCGTCCAACAATACCAACAACGGAAGCAGAACTACCAATGAACATCGACCCTCCGATGAAATCCGAAGTCCTGAATGCCATCAAGATGCTAAAAGCTGGGAAAGCTCCAGGACCAGATGGAATCCCAGCAGAAGCTTTGAAAATAGACCCAGAGACAACAGCGGACTTGATGACGCCACTACTAGAGAAGGTGTGGAAAGAGGGCAAAGTACCCGAGGATTGGAAGAACGGATACTTATTCAAACTGCCAAAGAAAGGAGATTTGAGTCAATGTAAAAACTGGCGTGGAATTATGCTTCTGTCCATTCCAAGCAAGATACTATGTCGCATCATCCTGGAGAGAATTAAACAAGCCCTAGATGAAAAACTTCGTCCGGAACAGGCCGGATTCAGGAGGAACAAGTCATGCATTGACCAAATCGCCACCCTACGGATTATCATTGAACAAAGTTTGGAATGGCAGTCACCTCTCTATCTCAACTTCATCGATTTTGAGAAAGCCTTCGACAGCGTCGATCGAGAGGTGATTTGGCAACTACTTCGCTACTACGGGGTACCACCGACAATTATACATCTCATCCAACAGCTGTATGACAACGCTGCATGCCAAGTAATCCACAACGGGAGGCTCACGGAATCCTTCGAAGTGAGGACGGGAGTGAGACAAGGCTGTCTACTGTCACCAATGATCTTCCTGATTGCAGTTGATTGGATAATGCGGCAGACAACGGCAACCAACGAGGGAACAGGCATAAAATGGACCGACACAAAAGCCTTGGAGGATTTGGATTTCGCCGATGATATATGTCTGATTTCCCACAAACTGGAAGATATGCAAGTGAAAAGCAACAAACTGGCAGAAGAAGCAGCAAAGATAGGACTTGAAGTGAACATAGACAAAACAGAGGTAATGAAGATTCCTGGCCAACATCAACAGCAACAACCGACAACAATCAGCATAAATGGGAGGAACCTGAAGGAAACAACTTCTTTCACCTACCTGGGAAGCATCGTCTCAACTACAGGAGGAACTGACGAGGATATCAAAGCCAGAATCGGAAAAGCAAGACAAGTTTTCATTTCTCTCAAGTCTATGTGGAGGTCAACAGCATTCAGCATCGAAAATAAGATCCGTATTTTCAACTCCAATGTGAAGTCAGTACTACTATACGGATCAGAGACTTGGCGTGTTATAAAGAGCACCTCAAACAAACTACAGACCTTCATTAACAGTTGTCTTCGCTCAATACTCAAGATCAGATGGCCAAACAGGATCAGCAACAGGGATCTTTGGGAGCGAACCAACCAGGAACCGATTGTGAAACAAATAGGCAGGAAGAAATGGAGATGGATTGGCCATACTCTGAGGAAACCATCAAGTGACATCACTAGACAAGCCATCTCGAGTGGAACCCAAATGGGAAGCGACGAGTTGGTCGTCCAAGGGTGACCTGGAGGAGATCATGTGAAGAGGAATTGAAAGCGTGTGGGCAGACTTGGAGCCAGGTGAAAACTACAGCAGAGAACCGAACGCAATGGCGACGCATGGCTGAAGCCCTATGTTCCTCTGGGAATTAAAGGAAATAATAATAATAATAATAATATTGAGGAACTATAAAAAATGATTCCCTTAGCGGCTGCTAGTGACTGCAAAACTGAGTTTACAACGTAGAACTTTGTGCAACCGTGCAGTAGTTCAAGCTACCACACTCCATGTAGCACACAAAGGGACTATAATGAGCAGTGATGTAGAGAAAAAAGAATGAATTCATGGAGTTGACGAATTTGGGAGATTACATGGAGTAAATGCACTTTCACCATTAAGAACGATTTTACTGTTTCACTGTTTGATATATCTAATAAACAAACTAATATGGAATTACTTACTACCACAGTGCCCAAGTTTTACACATATATTAAGAACGACTTTAATTCATAACATAGGCCTCCTTCAGTCATTGGTTCTTAGGATCTCAAGGACCCCAACCAGGCAGTTTACGCCTCCCTATGTGACTCCAACTGAAGTCAAAAACTTCATGGTTTGACGCTATGTTTTGAGTTAATCCCCTCCTATCCTATTTTACCTATGATTTAGGTACTGTATTATTACTTAAAGTTGGTTAAAATGCTTAAGTAAACGAGAATAATGCGTTTTAAGTACTATTAACTTAATATGGCTTTATTTATGTAAGGAATCGAGGAAGTTTTCTTTTTAAAGTAAACACCGACAACGGAATATTTAGTCTCTATTAAAATTTATTTTAAATATACTAATGGAAGTGAATGTGCTTATTGTAAACGTTTCAGGAATTAACCCTATGTCTCTGTAACTTCTAGTTAGCTTACGCCACACATATATGATAGTTTCTTTGATAGATACACTAACATAATGCTGGGACTTCCGAATACTCGGGAGATTTTTAATGATTTTCATCCACTTACATGCAATATGGAAAATGCTGATACACGATTATAGTATATAGATACCCAGGTTAAGTGAATTAAATAAGTGCGTCAATCATTTGGTGTACTTCATCAGTTAAGTTAGTGCTTCTAAGCTGGTTGTCTACAAAAATCTCAGTTAATACACTAGCTAACCAATGCTGCTCTTCAAAGTTTCGAATTATTTAGCGACCTATAAAAAAGTAGTTAGCGGGCAACTTGTAGAAGGACTTAAAACATGAATGATACGAAAAGTTAGGACTTTTCAACAATTCTTTTCCGCGAAAAGTTTTTATTATTTAGTGTGGCCAAAAGTGAACAGTGTTGGAGTATGCCACGAGGTAAAAAAAAGTCGTTTAGTAAGATTGTGTACTTATAATAATCTTTGGAATATGTCACTTTTCAAGCCACCATAACACAGTCCTCTTTTGAACTCCGTCTGAGTTAGTACATCAAAAAATGTTAGATATTCATGAATTAACCGAATGTTGGTCAAAGGCAGTTTTATTCAATCTGTGTACTCGGAGTAGTCAAAAGAATGGATAGGTGCAGATGCTGGTTGACAGTTCTGAAAAAACTTATTCAAAGCGGTGTATTCATATATTTTTCTTTTCATTTTCACAAATTAGAGAGAATTTCTAACCATAAATATAGTAGTCTGTTTCTTTCTGTTCAACGAGATAATACAGTTTAACCAACACCAACCAAAAGATTGTCAAGAAGTACTTTTTAAGTTGCCTAGCCCATTCATTGTTTGTTTTTAGCTTTTAATACCACATTAAGCTGGTAAGAAGAAAATTAAAGGTAATCAAGTTGATATGCGATGTAGATTTCTACACTAACTGACTAAAACTCTATGTAATCTGTATATATTGCGCAATAAGAGTAGGAGACCTAGTCAGAGAGTAGAATATGAAGGCCTATATTAGAGCGGAATTCTGTGTAGGATGATAGATACTGACTGGTCCTCGAGATGTCCTGTTATTAATACCGTATTACTATATCTTTTGTATTAAATAAATGTGCGTAGTGTGAAGCACTTAAATGGCTTGTGTTGCTCATAAAAATGAAAGCGCAAACACGAACGTCTGGCTCTTACAACTGAACTGGTGGACATGAAGGTCTACTTCGAAGAGCTGCAAAACCCTGATTTTATATCTGTGATGTACATTCGCTCCAGATTCGTAGATGATCAATTGGAATATGTACCTTTTTCGATCACCAGAAATCATGGGAACACAACTGTTGACGACTGCTCCACTGCCTTGTGGATCAGACTTCTTCAAAGCCATAGGCTTAGGGGATGACCGCTTAAGACAGTGATCTGCTTTGGCGTGGATACCCAGGCAGTTTCACAACTCACACACAAACTGTGAGGCTTTGTGTGGAGTATCTCTTGGTTCCCATCATGTACAAAGTTTGAGTTTTAATAATGATTGTGAGCTCAGGTATGTGCAGTATATGCATACTGTATTGACGAGCGAACGATTTCCCAAAAATTAATTTGTCGTAATAGCTTTAAATGAGCAAGGAAAATATTTTTATGCTTATTGGCTCAGTTTTCATTTATCCTCTCGACTGAATTCTGATCATAATACTTCTGTTTCTGGGTCAAAGTCCCGACTGAAAGCTGCTACCTTGACGTAATGGTCCAGCTTGAACACCGCAATGACCCTACAAGCTATACTGGCTGAGACTTATGTCGCTTGAGGTCCTAACATTCCAGAAAGGTTGTTTGGATAGCGATTAAACAAAAAGCAGCTACCCAATCCAATACTTTTTTTTACTTCACCTTCCCCACTGGAACATAGGGCTTCAAGCTAGTTGCTTGAAGTTTCTGTAGCAGTGTTTATTATATAGGATGGGGTTGCTGGCCTCATGCCCAACTTTTCCTCTTCACCAGCATTATTTCTGGCTTAGCGAGGTAAAGGAGTGCATCGGCAGGGGATCGAAACCCGGACCATATGCGTGGTCGGCGAGCGTCCTAACCGCTATACCATTGACGCCACCAGTCGAATACTATGATTCAAACAAATTCACAAAATATCATACCGGATCGGTCGGGGTCCGAATTAACAACGACCGCGCTTCCTGCTGCCGTGTCACAGGGCAGAAGTAATAAATATGCTACTGAGACACACCAAACAAAAAAGAACAAACAAAAACAGGCCGCGTGTGACCGGCCTCAAGTAGTTGTCCCCTGGGCTCTGCGGTCACGTAACACTTTCTGTTTCAGGTTCCCAAAGAATCAGTCAACTTCCACGGTGTGGGCGACCGGGAAGTAACAACCGCCCACACACTTCCAAAAGCACACAAAGCCTTCCTGAGCATCACTCTCCCTTACTCACATCACCTTACTCTGGGTCAAAGTAAAGTAACATTTGAGGGAAAAAGGAATAATGTAGTTCATTTAATTTTTCCTTCGTGGGCTTTTCTAGTTGTAATGATGTGAAATCTCCGTCTTTCACAAACTCCATGTGTGCTATTTTCTACTGATTATTTTGTTTGTGAGAAAACTGCGTAAATTAAAGGGAATTTACAAAAAAATATTTGAGCCTTAGTTAAATGTCATTGTCCTACGGAATTTTTTTTATTACAAATTTTATCTTGAAATCAAGGTTATTTCCTACTTTAAAGGATAGAATAAGAAACAGCGGGACTTTTCTCTTGAAATCTCACAACATAGCAGGAACATAGATAATCATAGATCATACTATTAGATCAAGGGTTTGTTAGGTTATTGGAACATTAGAATTGATCTAATTGTGGAATGGGGTTGATTCTACGCGGGTAAATAGTTTAGAGGGAAACTGAGCAATGGCAATGCACGCATTCATATACAATCATTCAATAGGTTGAAACAAAGCTACAGTTCTAGAAAGTAACATCGGTAGGTGGGGTGGGAGTGGAGCTTGGTTGATCACTGATTCTACCCACCTAACACGTACAATAAGAATGACGCAACGATGGTATAGGAGATATGGAAAATGTTACTTCCAATGAAGTTAGAGGATAAGAAATAATGGGATTATACCAACGAAGTTTGATAGTTATATGAGTGCCTTGTTATAATTATAAGCAGCAATAAATCTCCCTCAAAAACCAGGAAGTCTACACCTTTAAGCCACGTAGAAGGGATGGTAAAAACCAATGAGGACTGGAGACAATTGGTGATATGGCTCAAAATCCTCGTTCTCAATGTCTGGCGCAGATACATCCACTACTTGTGACTTATTATATCCAATAAAACTGTATGGTTCTTCGATATTGCTATTGTTTTTGCCTCATATTTCTGTTTACTGTCAGTATTTTGAATTTCTTTTTACTTTCTTCTTCTTCTTCTCTTGCTTTGTGTGCTGAGTGAAGTGTGGCGATTTGAACTGCTGCCAATCGGTCTAAAGTTCTACGTCGAAAGCAGTCCGTCCTCAAAACATCGTCAGTAAATAATACTCTATCAGTGTATGCCTATTATCAAATAAGATTATCCTTTGATGGAATACTTTTTCATATTTTCCCTTGTGCATTGAAGTCTTTGTAGCAGTCGGGTTGATTTTCTGAGGTAGGATCTCTAGACCCACGCCCAGCCTTCTCTCTTTTTCCGGTTTTAGGACCAGCTAGTAAACCCAAATGTGTTAAATGATGAATGGAGCGTTTTAGGGTGATATGCAGGAGATTGTGTGAGGAGATCACAGAATATACGTAATAGTACGGCCAGCTAGACAGGACCGCAGAGAATAGGACAAACTGGAAGATGTACTGCTGAAGCCCTATGTCCCACTTGGAACCTAATGGAAGCGGAAACAAGAGTTTGTCAGTCTGAAGGTAATATATTGTTAATAATGTGGTTGTACGATGTATGCTACTGCCAAGTTTTATCAGTAGTATATAAGTAGATGTCCATCGGCACAAAATATCAAATAACAGAGAGATATATTTGACGTCAAAGAGGGAAAGAGAGAGGAAATGAACCAGTATTGAGGCAAAACATGGGAGACACGAAAAGAAGATAAAGAAATAAAATACGAGGGGCAGAATGAGCACAACACAGACATGTGCAAATGAAGATTTTCGTATGAGGTGATGCACATAGTTTCCCTATATAGAGATATCCCATTCCAAACAAACATTCTATTCAAGTATTGGTTTGGTAGGGATTTTGTTTAATTGCATGGAGGATTTCATCATGAGCTGACATCAGTTAGAGAACCACTGGAAAACCTGGGAGTACTGGACAGCTGTTTCGTCCTAGTTTGGGACTCTTCGGCAGTACGCGCCCACTGGGATTCGAACCCAGGACTTTCTGGTTACAAGGCGAGCTCGTAGACCATTGAGCCACTGGGACCCGATCCAATGGGAAGCCGTGACCAGTAGGGTACAGCAGGTTGAAGATGAGGCAGTAACTCATCTAAGAAGACATTGCGAAATGGTCGCGCTATGTCGTGAATTGGCAGAAGTTAGAATTCAAGGACCATTGGATCGGGTCCCAGTGGCTCAATGGTCTACGAGCTCGTTATCCTTGTAACCAGAAGGTCCTTGGTTCGAATCCCGGTGGGCGCGTACTGCCGAAGAGTCCCAAACTAAGACGAAACAGCTGTCCAGTACTCCCAGGTTTTCCAGTGGTTCTCTAACTGATGTCAGCTCATGATGAAATCCTCCATGCAATTAAACATTCTATTACCAATTCTCTTCTCTTCTGCGGTTGCGGTTGCACTTTGCTTCCTGTTTCTTGAAGCATTTGTATTCCTAGTGTGCTTATCTGTTGATTTCTTATCTCTCTAGTAAATGCTCTCTGTCTCTAATTTCATCCTTATTGTTTATATGAATTATTCTGAATTCAATTTGTTTGCGCGCCCGCCCTAATTTAAATCTATACACTTCAGTCATTCCAATAGTTTGTTGCATTGTTTTTTAGCTTGAATAATTGTCCTACTCATTAGTAGTAGGTTGTGTGCTTTTAAAATAGCCCGCTTCTTTCGCAGCGACACGTTTTTATATAATTCAATGTTCAATAATTTCTATTTTTCTCTGTTTCTCTTTCTTTGTTTGATATTATAACAGAAAAAAGGTGAAACCGGATGAAGGACCAAATCTTTTATTTCAAAGTTGGATAAAAGAAGCAATGGAGAAGGCATTTATCAAAGATGCTAAATCTTATTATGCTTATAGAAAAGTAAGCGTTAACTTTTGTTCTCCATAAGCTTAGCATTATTTTTGCTTCTTTTCCTTTTTTTTAGGCATTTTCATCATTGAAAAAGTACCCATTATTATTGTTAAGTGGAAAAGACTGTAAAATTCTTGAAGGATTTGGATCAAAACTGTGCGATCTGTTAGATGAAAAACTAGCGAAATATGCCAATGAATTACAGATGTCAGTTATTGAGGCAATACATTATGGGAATAAAAGTTTGAAGACGTCGACAGCGACAACACCAACATCAACAGTGGTACAGTCAACTTGTAGCATAAATCCACTTGGTGAAGTAAGTGAAAGTTTGGTTTTATTGTAAAAAAAAATATGTGTGATCAATTAATTATACAAGATCGAATTCAAATGCAGCATTATGATGAGGATGAGAATGATGGGGTTGATGATTTTCATTCGATGCTGTTGTATACTTGCCTTCAATTTGTTTAATATTTAAATCTGTAAACGGCCCTCTGTGTATACTTGTATCAGAGAATTTCAACTGTCTGCGTTGCTTTTTTATGCATTGGTGAATAATAAGAATAAGGCTTATGATAAATATGGACGGTAAACTGAACATTAACCCTAATATCCAATGACGTGGATAGCATATTATGCGTACACTGGCATAATCATACTCCGGTGCTGTCAGCGTTTCTACAGCATAGTCGATAATGTAACTCTTTGGAGATGAGGTTATTTTACACAGAGTTGTTGTCCCGCCATCACATATGATTGGATCACATGGATTAGGCGACCAACGTGTACGCGAGAGATCAATATATCCCGTGACAGGGGATGATTTGACTTGTAATTTCTGTTTATTGTCATAACTGGTTGGTGGAGTTGAATATTGTGGACGTAGTATCATGGTGTATATATCATTGTGTTCAATTGAAGCATATTGTCTACCGTCTGAATTCGTTTGTAGTGTATGCCATGAACAACACTTTTCATAGCCTTTTCTGTATGCTCCACTTTGGATCCATCGATTCAAAGAATCTTCACCCTTAAGGAGGATAATTTGTGTAGGTTGTGAAAAATTATGTACATGCATAGAATCACCGGCCTGCAGGCGAAGACTAGCCATTGTTGGTAGGCTCCAATTGCGTAGAACTAGACTATAGTTTTGTTGTGCACCATAATGTGGTGATATAGGTGTAGCCCAAACACGTACTCTTAACTTACTCGATTGTATCTCCAAATGGCTACATGTGAATGAACGTAATTCGTGTAGATTCATGAAAAAGGTGTTTGTCGGTTCACCCATCAACACTTGATCACCTTTAGCTAAAATCAAATCGATTGGTCCTAGTGTATAATGGATGAAAGCCAATCCACTGACGATAGATCCAAGTGTTAGACATGTACAGAGTAGTAATAGTCGACACAGTTTAGACATCTTACCCTTCAACAGTACAATAATGCTGATAATTATTAGCGGGATTAGGGTTATCAAACCGACAATCATAAATACAAAGATATAATTCTTATATAATGCTTGGTGGTGTACATTTTTATCTAAAATAATGCTTGATGGTATCAGTACATCATTGGAGTAATCCATACTTTTTCGTAGTCTCCGGTAGTAGTATTAGCAGTCTTTAGTGATGATTGTAAAAAAAAACAGAAGTTTCTCTTGTCGTTTAAAACATACTTCCTTGGATTTTTGATTCGTTGTTTTTTTTTGCGTTTCAAATACTGAAGAATAAAAAAATAATAAAGTGGAGTCAAGTTAGGATAGGCCGCACAACAATTAGGCGTGTTTCTCGTCGGATTTCTGAACATCATCCTGCATAATGGTTGGTTAAGTAAAGGACAAATAAAGTCTATTCGTAGCGCTATTCTATCTCAAAACACAAGATTGATGTTAACCAGGCAACTTTTAAAGTCATTTACCGCATACCAACAAATCTTAACTTCGCCTTAAGAGTTCGTTTACTATATATTGCTGAGACTGGCTGTTTGGATCCACATGAAGAAGCCTTATTTATGTGTCCAAAAGAAGTTAGTTCAGTCATTATCATAACTTTGGCCATCTAGGTTCGAATGATCCTCAATTTCTTTAGTAGAAATTTTCTTAATTTTATTTGATATTCTATTTGCTATTATATCTTTATTGTTATTATTATAATTTAAGCATCTTTAATGAACTGTAATTCCATTGTGATCTTACTTTACAAATCTGTATTATTTAAAAAACACTAACATTGTTATTGACTACTAATCTAGAATATACTATGTATATAAGCATACATGTATAATCGTAGAGCCAGAAGAGGAAATGATCGAAAAGGATATTCTTTGCTCGATTATTTTGTGTTTTTTTAGATGTCTGAATGAATATTTTTGCTATAATATTCAAGTGTTGGTTTGCAGGGATTTGATTGGTTACAGAATATTCATCATGAACTGACATCGGTTAGAGAACTACTGGAAAACCAGCAGGAAATACTGGACATGAGTACTTTTATTCAGTTTGAAGCACTTGAATCCAGGTTTGCATACAGTTAATGCGACTCATCACGTGGCATGTTAGCATATGACTGACTTCGATGACTGGATAAACAAACATCAACTAACAAAAGTAGTAACAATAACGAGAGAGGGGTGGTTATTATGTGACTTATTGACCTAAAAACTCGTCTGTCAACCAACGGGCCTCAGGTTCGAATCCCAGTCCACCTATTTCAGTCTGGGTAACTGGGTAGTGTCATCAATCCTCACACAATAAGTGCGTCTCATCATGATAGATGGAAAATGTGTCCTTGGTAAAACTGAGTCAACAAGAGAGTGGCAACTTTCCTAGTTGCCTACCCTAAAGTATTGATCGAATATTATCGATCATTTGTGCACTGCTCATTACATGCTAATTAACACAACACTGTCTATATTGATCTATTCTGAGAGTTGGTGTCCCGGTTGAAAAACGTTTCAGTATCATGCTAGGCACCATCATTAGTGTTCGACTTTCAGTATGAATGTTAATTCAGCCAACAACTCAATCAAACGACATAAATTTTGAAGCTATTTACCTTTTACCATGAGGTCACATTTCTGTGCACCATGGTTATAGAATGAAACATTAAGGATTAGTCAGATGAAAGCGTTGAACCTAATTTATACGCTTTCTGATTTGTATCATGTAGGAATGTGTACACCATCGGTGATTTAAACCTGCATCATTGAATCCTTAAGTTGAAAAGTGAATACAATTCATTCTTTAAATTAGCTTTGTTTTATTTTTCGCTGGTTGATTGGACCAAAATGTTCGAACATTGTTGGCACTATTGGCTCCCAAAGCTTACGCCTTTACGATATTTTGAGGAAATGCCATGATAGTGTTTGGTGGACGGTGACTAGCAGTGGGACGCAGGATGCAATAACCCAATTGGCTAAGCAGACAACGCTTTGGTGTTTGAGACGATAGGTGTTGTATCCGAATATCCTCAGTGAGAAAACCATCACATCACTCGCTAGGGACTGAAGGTTTATCCAGGTTACTGAAGAGTAGTCGGAAATGAAACAAAATACGCATCCTAGTGAACTTCACTGCGAGTCACCCTATCCACTAACAGAACATCAGGTTACAGTTAAACTGTGGTGAGAGGTGTCTGCAAGCCAAAAATTGTAGACAACAATTTACGTCAATGTTAGGTCTCGAATCGCGATCATGAGAAAAAAGTAGCAACAAAGCTTAACCTTGAGGAACTCAACAACCAATCACAGCAGACTTAACGTGTGCAAATAGGATTCGCAGATATATGGCTTAACTTTCTGAGAAATGGTCAGAGGCAGTACGGAATAACCTTCA